TTTAACTCTTCCTTCTAGATGTAATCAAACGTAGAACAAGAACGATGCCAACGGGACACGTTCGCTTCTTTGGTCCTCTGTTGAGTTTTGAACTATCTCTCTCTCTCTCTCTCTCTCTCGCACATACACACACGTGTCTATCACACACACGAAAAAGCACATTCTTATAACTAGTTTTTATGTTTTTTCCTTTCGTTACAACTGTGTACTCATGTAATTCATTTTGTTAATAACATGTATTATCATTTGTTTTATATTCATTGTTTTGTGTTACTCATTTTTACCTGAACTCACACTGAGTCCGCCAAAATTGTTTGCGGGATAAATGTTCCAAGAACCCATGAATCTTACTTATTATAAAACGCAGATTGTGTGTGTGTGTGTGTGTGTGTGTGACTGTACGTTTATATATTGGATCGGATTTCCTACATTTTTCAACCGATTTCAACAAAATTTTACAGGACTACGGTAAATTACCTTGCGGTGGTTCTGACATCGCCAAAAATTAGAAAAACACAATTGTTTTTGCACGAAATCAATTTGAAAACACGATTCTATCGCCAGAATGAAAGGGGGACAACTCATATCGAGTTATACTTATTATAAAACCCAGGTTGTTTGTGTGTGTGTGTTCGTTTATATATGGGATCGGATTTCCTACATTTTTCAACCGATTTCAACAAAACTTCACTTTTTTTGGCAGGTAGTGTTTCTTATTGTCTTGCACACTTTTTTTCTTTATTTTTACATTCAGAATGCTTTAAAAATTCCATTTACAAGACAATTGTTTATAATAAAATTCTATTCAATCGATAGACTCATAACGATTGAAAACAATGTTTTTGTTTGAGTTTGGGTTTGACAAATTCGTAAAAAAAAACAAAAAAACAACAAAAAAAAAACTAATTAAGACATGCGTGTCCGTCAACCTTAAACAATAATCTTTGTCAAATTTATTTTTCAGTCTTTATGATGGTCGATACTTGATCTATCTCTTACTGTTACATCCCCGGGCAACGCCGGGCTCTACTGCTAGTATTTAATATAAAATGTCCATACACCTCGCAACCAAAGAGGCAATGCCCGTAACATAATGGCGATTTATTTCAACACAAGCATACTCGTATCCGGCAACAGATTAAGCCAAAAAATTTTCTAACTTTTGCTACTGTTACATATCCGATATATTTCATTGGGAGTCCGAGTATCCCATAAAACCCAATTTCATTTGAAAAAAAATCTCAATTTGACATTAAAATTTGAATTACAAATTCCTTGAATTTTCCATTTTTTTTCATGAGTCTGAGATTTTGACCACTTGATTTTGATAAGAGGCTGGTATTTCTTTTTTTTTTTCTTTTTCTGTGACTATTTCCCCTGTGACATTTTTTTTTTACCGTGACCTTTTTTCTGTCATTTTTTTTTTTACCTGGATTCGATATTACAGCCCTTGTCAGAATTCGTAAAAGATTTGGTAGAAAAAAGAATGAAACAAGCAAATGAAAGCAAACAAGAATTAACAACTGAAAAGTCGTTTGAATTTTTGATAACATTTATTTAATTTCAAACGCTTCTTTGAAACAAGAAAACATAGCATTTACACCATTAAGTCTGAGAACAATAAATTAATTGTCATGGCATGCAGACCTTGATCTATCGTTCACCTCACCCACCCTTTACCAACCCCTTGAATTTCAATCAACTCACGTCCCATCTCACTTCTAAACTACGTTTCATTTACTACCAGCCACATTTACAAAACAAGTGTAAAAAAAACCCCCAAAAAACACAAGGCATACTTTACAAACATACATCGACAATCAAAGATAATACCGTGAGTTCAATTCTTATGTTCGATATTTGATCGTTATAATATACATTTGTTGATTTTATAAGCACCAGCACAATACAAGAAGGCGGACAAACATATGATACGTCATATGAACTTTATTCGTCCATACTGGTTTGATTTATAGAATTAAGTTTCTTAGATTGCTGGAATTAAAAGATTTTGTTTTGCGTCAGTGATTTTAACTCATTTGATTTTTATTTGGATAACCAGCTTTTTACTATTCCTAACCTATTTTGCCCCAGACCTGGCTTCAGCTTTTCATCAGGAACAGACAAGGTTTTTGCATACAGCAAAAGACCATTCTTTAAACAGATATTTACCGATACGTTTTTTCGAATATTAGCTTCAAGATAAAACGTATTTCATTTTAATGACTATACAAATATACTGACCAAAAGGGCTCTGTCTGCATTTCAACAGACAGGATGACTGCATTACCAATACTCGTGATTCGAATACTAATAAAAGTAAAGCCTTGAATAGTAAAATTTGCAAACGCATCCCACTCGAGGTGTTACAGTCTTGTGAAAATGGCAAAAAAAAATTTACGCAGTTGCTAAAGTGTATCACCAAAAAAAAGACAATTTTATAGTTCTGTGTTGATCATATATTCGGAAGGAATCCTAATCAGAAAGATGTGTCTGAGCCAATTGAAAGACTGGTTTACGATATGTAGTGTACAATTGAGAAAATTTGTGTATTATAAACAATAAGAGAAGTTTGGCAATGTTTAAGATTCGCGCTCGAAAAAAAAACAAAAAACAAAACAAAAACGGTTATTCCCTTAACACCACTATTACTGCAATAACTTATGACTTGCTCGGCAATGTTTATTTACAAGATTATGAAAAATTGTGAACCAAGTACAATGCAATATTTATTATAGATAACTTTTCTATAAATTTATTATTTAACATTTTATAAAGAAATAAATTTGAAAAGAAATCTTTTTGCTCACAAATTTATAAAATATTACAAAATTATCAAAATTTGTAAACCACCTGCAATATTTATTATTTACCATTTTATAAATAACTATGAAAACAAGTTTTTATTCATAATTTGACAGAAATAACAATGAACTATAAAAAAAGAAAATTTGAATAAACATATGACATTATCTATTTTGCTTTTTAAAACGATAAACATTGCCGATGGAATCAAAAGTGTATGCAGTAAGAGCGGAAGAAACGTCCTTTTGACACATTTTTTTTGCGGATATGAAGGTTAAACATTGCCAGAAGTTTGTTTTTCTTTTGGTACAAATCAAACAATATAGAAATTTAAGGAACTAAGCTAAATTGGACACAGTGATAGGGAAAAATGAATGAACGAGCAATAGCTTGTGAGAAGATAATGTTAGCCATTGCTAGAGGAAATGCCTTATTGAACAATATAAATTTCCTATGATTTGACTCTACCTTATTGAATTCCGAAGGTCTGATGAGAACAGTTAAAATGATATGATCGTAGATAGTGATCCCAATAGAATGATAGTTGCCAGAACAGTAATGACGAAATATATATATATATATATATATATATATATATATATATATATATATATATATATATATATTTTTTATTTTTCTACGTTCCATTTCTTTTAATACTTAACAATGAGTATTATCCCTTCCTTTGAAAAATGATAGGACATTTTTTAACATTACGCATATAATCGATACACAGAGTCAAAATAATATATACAGGAAAAGACTCAACCCTCTCCACACACGCACCAAAACGAATTTTTAAAATGAAGGGTTTCTTAACAATGACGAGGATTTTTCTGTATCTCCTTATATATAATAGTAATTTTAAGCAATTAATATGGTTTTTTTTAAAAATCTGACAAAAGTCCTGATTTAGTGGTTACACATGTTTGAGTTGACATCTGCGTTTTCTTAAAAATAAGGCTTCTAGTGGTCTAGAGTTCCATTATTTAATGTCAAAAAATAAAATGAAATAAGCAATTTCTTAAACTTAATGTCAAGCGGCCTAGATTAAACTTATTAAAGAAAATGTGACTGCATTCCCGTCCGGAAGGCACATTTTTTTCATAAAACTTCAAAAAACCTTTCGCACTCTATGGCGGTTATTTTTAATTATATAGTTTAGAATACAAGAAACAAGGATGTCTATTCAAACACGTAAACCTACTAAATATAAAGTTTATACTAATATATATATATATATATATATATATATATATATAAATTTACTAATTTAAAATATGGTAAATATTAGTAAATTTATAATATTTATGCTCTGCAGAATTTTATTCAGCACTGTTTTTTAAATAAAATAATTAATAAGAACACCAGATTATAAATCTTACTGTTCTTTCTCATTATTTTAATATATATATATATATATATATATATATAATAAATTAATTGATTTAAAATATGTTTTTTTTCGCTACACAGTTCTAACCATGTTTCAAAAATGGAAGCTGAAAGCTCCGAATTTAATTTTGTAATTAAATTAAAGACATTAGTTCCATTTCATCCTTAAGCGAATTTTAGAGTAACTTTTAAAATTACTGGGTTTTAAAGACACAGCAAAAATCATAATACACGTTTCCAAGGATACAGAGAAATCCAATTCAATCAGACAAGAGGTGTTTGCGTGTTCATTATCGCTGTATTTTGATGTATCAGTTATTAGTTACGTTTTGGTAGGGGTAGAGATGTATTTTTCAATGAAATCTGACATCCGTTAAATGCATGTCGTCTGGATTTTTTAAAAATTTTATTGTTAACGGCAAAAATTCTTACTGCATTTTTTTCTATTTGTATATTTAAAGATTTTTTGGGGGTGTTTAGGTTAGAATACGTTTTATTTAACTACGATTTGAAAAATATTTTCACTTTTAATTTTTAATATACTATATTTCTTTTAAGAACAAGTAAATGTATTAGAATCCCTTACAGTATGTAGAATTATTTTCACATCAAGTATAAGTATGTATATTATTAGGTAACAATTTTTATATATATATATGCAGTTGTATATTTTTTTATTACATTTTTATATATTTATGCAGGTGTATATTTTTTTTATATATATATGCAGTTGTATATTTTTTTTTATATATATGCAGTTGTATATTTTGGATGCTTTTCCCTTAGTTTTGTGGATGAAGTAATAAAGATATTGCAGGTTTTTAAAAGTGTTCTATGTATATTTCTTCTTCCTCTTATTTAAGAACAGTAAGTATCTGCCACCAATGTTTACCTGAAGAAGAAATATACATAGAAAACACTTTTAAAAACCTGCAATATCCTTATAATTATTCCAGATTTTATTGTTACAGTGGTGAGAATAGAAATTAATAAAGTTATTATTGTTGGTAGATTTTCTGTAAAGCTCCAACTGAAGGTCATTATTAGTTCTCTGTAGCACGATATCTAGGAATCTAGTGTTGTTAATCTCAGATTCAGAGGTAAAACCTATTGTGTGTTCAACGTGTCGTTATATTAATAGAGAATCGTTTATGCATCTAAAATAAGAGGAATTCTGTGGTTATATATTTTTCAAAGGCATATTTTCTAGAAATTCTAAAAATAGGCAAGGCAAAACGCCTCTAAGAGGGGACCTCATCGGTAAACCAAATTTTTGTCTATAAAATTGTTATCGAAGATGAAGAAATATTGATTAGTGATTAAATGCCTCATTTTTATGACCTTATGTCTAGGAAGAGGTAATTTTATTTTTATTTTTGGTAGATGTGTTTTTAGTAAATAATTTAGTATCAATTATATTATTCCTTACGATATAGTGGGAAAACATGCAGAAACAAAAAAAAAAAACGTATCTATGAACACTAAGAGGATTTTATAAACAATTTATCAAATACATAGAAATAAATTCAACCACAACTTCGATCTAAAGAATGCTACACTTATTAAAAGAGAAAGTAACTTACTTAGACGGAAAATTCTTGAGAGTGTCACTATCAAATATTACCAATATCAATCAAACATATCGTACATCAAGATATAGCTATACATCACAGGTTCACATCCCTATTTCTTAACACAATCACTGCCTCTTTCAATGGTAGTGTTCCAACCACGAACGAGTGCATGTATCACAGGTAAGTAAAACTTATTAAAAAAAACATTTAAAAAAGAATAGCTCATAATTTCACTGTTGAAATTGCTAGTTGTAACCGCAAGTTCTATGCTAATAGTTCCTTCTCCTGTACTATTCGCTTATGGAACCCTCTTCCGGCTGCCTGTTTTCTTGTCAACTACGATATTTAAAAATTTAAATGCAATGTCAGTTGTCATCTTCTGTAAAATTGAATCCTGTTCCTTTATTTCTTTCGCTCTTAGTAACTCCTTGCATCTTAGTAGCTTTTATCACATTGCTTGGGGTGAAATTATTTTCAAATACGCACAAAGAAGAGAAAGAAACAGGAAAAACTGCGCGTAACAGTAAAACAAGTGATAAAGGGACAGCAACCGAGGGAATAGAAGGGGGAAGAGCAAAGAAAGAAAAACGAGGAACGAACGTAGGTGGTGGTGGTGGGGGGATTTAAAAGACGAAAAGAGACAAAATCACGAACATGGTTACGCAGAGGATATCTAAAATGAGAAATGGAATATCTGAGAACTCCAGAACAAATTATAGACCATTTATGTAAAAAAAAAAAAAAAAAAAACACACACACACACACACACACACACACACACACACACACACACACACACACACACACACACAATCTCGAGAAGAAGAGCAATTTGTGCATTTCCAGGGGAAAAAGATTATAAAATGAATATAGTCAACTGTTTCAATAAACACTGGGAATCGTGCAAAGGTTTTGGCGCGGACGAATTAGCGAAAAATCTAGTGAGCGTATAATACTCTTGGGCTTCAAGATTCAGACCCACGACCCTATGCATATAAGAAGGCCGGGTCTCGTATTTGTAAGCAAGGAAAAGAAACTGATAGATTGTAGCTGTGGCTATATCAACAGTTGACAGGGTGAAGATGAAAGAAACGAAAAAAATAGAAAAATGTTAGGTTCGTGCTTATAGTAATTGTTGTGTTCAAAATACAAGAGGCGACATTAAAGGAACTGAAATTCGGGCAAAGTTGGGAGCTGGCCAGGCAACAACAGTCTTGGTGTTTGCGAGCAACTGAGAAACGCGCTGGAAATTCGAGGTGACTTGCTGTTACTTAAGTCTAACGATAATCAGCCGATAATTGGAGTGAAGGTGGTAATAATAATAATAATAATAATAATAATAAATGCCATGGTGCTACATCAGGTATGGCTCTCATGGCTTCTGGTCTTAATTGATTAGAGCTGTTAACCTGTGCATGTTTTGCCTTGCTGAATTAAGATTAGATACAGTGAATATTCCGTTCAGTGTCTCAGATTTGTTTGCCAGTTGCCCGACCTTATTCAGTTGGGCATGTCCCCTAGGGACTGACGGATTGTGTATCTCAGTTCATAAGCGGGGGTGGTGGGGGAGCATCATGACTAGGAATCGGAAGGGTTGTTTCTTTTTTTCGTTTGAAGGGAATACACGACTTTAACTTTTACTTGGTTTGAACACGACTTGAAATAGAATACACGACTTGGGAACAGCATCAATCGGAGACCGTCTGAAGGCGTTTCCAACTGAGTTCTATCAGCAAGTTGATGCATTGCGTCACCATATCGCACACATTTGGCTGTGATGCATTTACCACGTATACACTTATCAGACTGGGTGTCATGATGGTTATATAGGGCTTTGTAGATTTGTACTCCAGCATCACTTTGTTGACGTGCTTCTCTCCCTCTCCCTCTCTCAATAATAGGAACGACCCCATCATGTTACTTACGATTCAGTTGCATTCCATTAACGCTGGCTGCATTTCATTCATTTTGATACATTGATTATCAGTACAACTATTTTTCTCATGACATGTGAATTTTGTACACAAACTCCTATTTTTTATATCTTTTTTTTTTACTTGCATACAAATTTTAAATAAAACCTTAAAAAGCAGACATACTGTCTAAATATCATTAAACATTGTTAGATAACTGTGCTTTTTTCCTTTTCTTTTATTAAATCGTGTTCTTCTCTGGTGGTGTAATAATAATAATAATAATAATAATAATAATAATAATAATAATAATTTTTTATCATCAGATAAGAAATGTATGCGTCTATCATTCATCCCTGTATTTTGCATCTTTTAATAAAAACCACAGAACAATCATTAAAATCTTTCACAGTTTTTTTTCCTGCCTGCGGGTGTCGATCGGTGTGGCTTAGACAAATATAAGTTCTACATTCAAACTTTGGTGATATGTGACGAATAAAATTTATATTTGTAATGATACATTTTAATGTTAAGAAAGAAACGTATTAATATATAAAGAAGTAAACACGAAAAGGTGAAAAGATATACACACACACATACATACATACATACACACACACACACATATATATATTTATATATATATATATATATATATATATATATATATATATATATATATATATATATATATTGCTCCAATATTCATAAAAGTAGATAGCTTTTATGGATCTTGGATCACACCACATAGACATGTACACATGAAATATATTTACATATAGATCGATACAAATAACGCATATATTGAATAGTCAATCAGACAAACTGAGGATACATTTAACGCTTTAAAGTGAAATAATAAAGGTTTTATACACATCTCTTTTATATTATGTTTACAATATCTGGAAGATTCTATTGTCTTTTGGTACAAATGTATGCTTATAAGGAAGATTTTATCTATCTATCTATCTATCTATCTATCTATCTATCTATACATGCTTATGCGCGCTAGTCTAAAAGTTAAAAGATCTTTGACTATTAAGTCTTTCAACAGGATTTTCTTTCAGTATGTCTATATTTCTGAGATGAGGTATTATGTAGACTATTTACATTATTCGGACTATTGTCCTCATCTTTGTCGCCATATTTATTACAACGTTTCGGCCGTTGTGCGCTCCGTCTTTCTTCAGGTCCTTGACACATGGTACAGTGGATAAAGGCGTTGTTTAGATCCAGTGACAGGACCCAAAGAGCGGTGGAGAACTTGGAGAGGGGGATTAACAGGAGATAACTGATAACTGACATCCATTAAACATGGCACGTGGAACTAGAACAGTCTTCCCCAGTGAGTGAAATAAAGGGTCAGTTCGACATTCCAACTACCTGAAGAAGGCCGGAGCGTACAACGGCCGAAACGTTGTAATAAATATGGTGACAAAGATGAGGACAATAGTCAGAATAATGTAAATAGTGAGGATTTTCTTTGTGATATTTCTTATAGCTATATTAATATTTTTTTCATGTCTATATAGCTATATTAATATTTTTTTTTCATAGCTATTTCATAATATTTTTTTCAGTAAATAAAAAAAAAAACAATTACAATTATTTTTCATCAGAGTTGTGTACTGGGAATCATTTTTTTCAAAAGTTTGCACAGATACGTTTTGATACAAGTTATCTTGAACAACATTGGGAGATTCTGACTTTTCAGTTTTGAGCGTTTGTTCAAAATTCTGATTTGAATTTCTGTGTATCGCTTAAAATTCGACGTTTGCCTTTCAGAAGCAAAAAAAAAAAAAAAAAAAAAAAAGAAAATTAAAATTTAAGATTTTTAGCTGGCAATAAGTCTGTCAATTTGATCACGGACAAAAATGAATCCGACTACATTTACGCTTATATATATATATATATATATATATATATATATATATATATAGATTAATGTTAATATTAAACTCAAGTAACCATATTATATCAAAATTTAGAATTTTTACCTATTATCAATGATAACATTTCTTTTACCCCTGTTTGTTATGATAATTTATCTTTATATTCGTATTGAAGCTATATTTCCTCACTCTTTACTTATGATTGTAGTTTTGTTTAAATTGCTTTTTAAAAGGCTATTTGGATTTTAAAATCTTGACACAGAATATGACAAAGGAAATGTAAAGAAAGAAAATGGGATCAGACAGAAGAGATAATTATAAATGGCGGCAACTATCATTTTAGAATCATCCTTTAATATCATTACTGTTATGAATATTAATTTTTAAAACCTGAATTTCCCCCACTGTCCAATAATATCTTCAGCACTTGAAGAAGTGAATCAGTATCACAGAATAAGTTAATCCTACATTTCACTAGTGTTCCTGGCGAAGAGCTTAGTCGCCCAGAAGCTGAATTTTGTTTTCCTCTTTCCTTGAGACGCAATTCTTTTATAATTCTTATAATTCATTTGACTCCTGTCTTTTATTAGATTTAAACGTTCTGTATAGAATTTCAGTCACGCCTGCGAAGCGGCACAATATCGCATTTTCGAAGGTAGGCATATGTTCCTGTATAATATAGAGAACATTCCACCACGTTATTGTCGAATGTTATTTCACTGACGTACATTTCCGGATTGAACTCCACCTGAAAATAAATAAATAAATAAATAAATAACAACAACAACAATTTCAGATTTCAAAAGTAACCCCCTACCAAAGCGGATGCAGAAAAGGAATGTTAGAAATAAAAAAAAAAAAAACAAAAAAAACAAGGAACCATATTACGACATCTTGAAGGACAATACCGATTTTGACTTAGGTATGTTCGGGTAGTGTAAGGGTTATCGGCACGGAAAGTAGGATCGGGGTATCGAGTTAACATTCTGGCCTATTAAATTATTTTCGGTTTCGCATAAATTCCCTCCAGGTATGGGATAAACAATAGAGCAGTGTAAACTTAGTAGCCAATAGAGGAGAAGGGAAATTTACAGATAATAAAGAAAAAGAAGTCGTGAAGATCCATAAGAGACATGGAATAAAAAAAACAGTATTCACGTGGTAATGAGTAGTAAATATTCTGATAAAACCTTCAACATTTCGGTCATCGTGTAACATAGTAACACTCTTACTAGTACACCGTGGGTTATACTGACATGAATTTCAGTGTAGTGAAAGTGCACAGCGAATGCAGCGGATATCATGCCACGGAGACGCACCTGTGTTCCTTTTGCTCAATTAAAGCCTTTGGAGAGGAAGTGAAACATGACACGTTGATGATGCTTTGGAAAATGAACATTCCTACAGCCATAGACCAGGTTCTGGACTGTCACTAAGATCAATGTATTATGATGGCAGCAGTGGAAGACCGAATAACGTTCATAGCACAAATTTGAACAAATACGGTTATTTTAGAGAATTGTAGCTCATGTTGAACGTGATGCGTAGGTTGTGCGTTAATGTTGGTAATAGTGATCAAATAAACATTCCTGTACCCAGAGACCAAGTTCTGGACGTTCACGTAATACAGATGTGCGCTAAGATTAACATATTTTAAAGGGTGTAGTGGAAAACTGCATAGGGTTCGTAGCACAGATCAGATCAAATATAGTAATTTCAGAGAATTATAGCACATGTTGAATGTAACACGCCCGTGATGCTTTGATGTTGGTAACAGTGATGAAATAAAAATTTATACACCCATAGAGCAGTTTCTGGACGGCCACATAGTACAGATAAGTGCTGATATTATAAGAGCAGCAGCTGAATACTGTTTAGCGTCCACACTATAAACCAAAACAAATCTTGTCCTACGAATGTCAATATGGAGCGTTGGGAATAGTTTACTTTCTGCAGGACGATGTGTTTTTTAACCAAGACTTGCGCTTAAGTGCATAACTCCAGTGGTGTCATAGAGGGCCACCTAGGAGTTAAAACGTACATCTTTAGTTCAAACGATAGTCCTCTGCGTGGGTAGTGACATATTCCAGGGTGTGCTCGTCCACGACAAAAAAACATTCATCCCTTCTCATCAACAAAGGTTACAACTCTCTCTCACCTTTGGTGTTTGTGGAGGGGTTTGTGCCCGTCCCCATGACGCCCGTACTACTGATACCACAGATATGCTTGTCAGTTGCTTGACTTTAATCATTTGAGTATATATCCCCTAGAGACCGACGCACTGTGAATCTTTGTTTATGAGTGGTTGTAATCAGTAAGCATCATGGCCAGGTGTCGAGAGTTTTTTTTTTGTTTGAATGATGAGGCAGCCACGGTTATTTAGGATATTTTAGATATTGCTTATATTTATAAACAATCAGAGGCCGTCTGAGCGGACTGGGTCAACTAACTTGAAGGTATTTCTAACTGGGATCTACCTGCAAGATTATAGTCTGCTGTTATGACGACCTGTCAGCATATCGCACATCTTTTGGCTGTGATGCATGTGTCCGGAATACTCTTATCATATTGTGTCATATTGGTTATATTGGGCTTCCTATATTTGTACCTCAGCGTCACTTTGTTGATATGCCACACTCTCACTTACTCCAACAATAACAACTACTACTACTACTAATAATAATCATAATAATAAGTAACTCAGAATAAGTATAAAATAGAGATTTTGAACAAGTTACCCAAAGCATTCATGGGAAGTTGTGTGAGAAGTGATGTTTTCAGCGAGAAAATGAATGTTACAATCATAAACCCAAGTCCTTGAGTCAGAAATAAGTTTTTTTTCAATACAAACAGATATGAAACTGGAGCACATAGCGGAAGATAAAATAGGAAAAGACGGGTTGATCATTGATCCATCGTGTCCTTTTGATAGAAGGATAGAGCAAAAGGAAGAAGAGAAAGTAATCAATTAGGACCCTTTAAAGTTTGAACTCGCAAGTCTTTGGAAGTTGAAGGAAGTCACAATCACACAATCATGCCAGTTGTGATTGGAGCACGTCGACGCGGTTTAATGGCTAGCAAACTTGTTTCGCTAGATCAGTTACGACTGAGTAGTGGGTTTGATCCTCACTGGCTGCCCTATACTTTTGGCCTTGTGTCACATCTAAGATACGCCTAGAAATTCATTTCGAGCACCTCGACATGCTGTAATGGTTAGCAAGCTTGTCTCGCTAGATCAGTTACGACTGAGTAGTGAGTTCGATCCTCCCTGGCTGCCCTATACTTTCGTCCACATTTTGTGCCACGTTTAGAAAGTCATTGGACGTCACAACGTGTTGCAATGATTAGCAAAATTGTCGCGCTAGAACAATTTCAATCCTCATACTTTCAGCTTGTGTCACATCTAAGCTATGTTTAGAAAATCACTATAACCATTTGCGATTGGTACAATTGGTGTAATGATTGAGATAATGGAGACCTGATATATAGATAACTGACACTGATTGCCCATTGGAACTTGCAGAAAGGAAGAATCATAGCAAGAGTAAGAATATTCCGGAAAGTGATAAGCTGGAGGGAAATTGAATTTTATCGAATGCCCCTTTTTCATGGACCGTTTTTTTTATGTATTAATTACCAGATATTAAGATATAATAATAATAATAATAATAATAATAATAATAATGGAAATCTCGAAAATGTGGCATATGGGAACATCAACAATCCCTGTTGTAGTTGGAGCCCTGGTTGGAAAAGATTGCAGTAGACTAATTGAAGGGATTCCTGGAAGTCCATGCCTCAAGGAGATACAAAACATTGTTCTGACAAGTACAGCCCACACTTTACGAAGGGCTTTATCTATGTAATTTCTTTTTTTTTTTTTTTTTGTCAGTGGAAAGTGTCATGATGCCATTTCTAACCTTAGGTCCCTGGGCGGGACCCGGAAAGAAATGTGTAAACGCCAGAAATCAAAGAAAATAAAAATAATAATAATAAAATTTTTGGAGTCAAGAGCCATTCAAGGTACAGGGTTGAACCCCGTGGTGGGATTCAATTTTTTTAGGAACCGGTTCTCTCTTCTTTTTTCACATCGCTAACTTTTTTTTTTAACGATAGATATAGACAAACAAGTAAATAAACAAATTCTGTGAACTTGTAAACATTTTAGTAAACATTCCGCGCTAACCTTTACGAATCCCATCACTGGGTTAAAATGTTTCTCCCAAATATGTATTTTAACCAACAGTAATAAATCATTAACGCTTACCTTAAGGATGTAATTACCAAATTTAATTCCGGTAATATCAATCCACTGACAGTCAATGTCATGATAATAGTTGTCGGAGCAGTTTACAGAAAGACCTGGGAAAATAAATAAAATATTCATGAATCTATAGTATAAACGAAGAGCCGTTTCTCTGTCTGTCACACACCGCTTGCATGTGACTTTGTATGCGTGTATCTAACGTATATGCGAGTGTCTACGTTGTGTGTGAACGACTTACATGTGCTTGTACACATAAATACCCACACACACACACATTTTAATTGAGTTTGAAATAAGACATTAGAATAATACATTCTCATCAAATTCAGTCAGGGCAACTCTTACCCAGGGCTGAGCAAATAAATCATGAAGTTAGAGACGACAAAAAGTAAAAATAAGTAACACACACACACAAAAAAAAAAATCAGATAATTATATTTAACATTTTTGGAAATTATTCGGTAATAAATAAAGTTATTATTTTTTTCAATTTTCTAGAAATATTACAATATACACACGCACACGCAAACGACATTTGTGTTGCGAGAGCTAAATTTCCCTTACTGATTGCAACCGCTATGTAACAGGAAAAGAGTAGAAGCTGAAATATGCAGCTCTTTGGAGTTATTTTTTATGGTTCCTTCTGTATTTAAACTGAATATATTTTCTAATAAATGTGTTATTTAAAATAGACAAGAAGTTTAAATTGTAAATTTGACCATCTGCCGTCAGCGAATCGACAGGTATCGAACTAGTAGTATATAATGAAATCACATTCAAATATATCAGTCAGTTATGTGCCATGCGTGATACCCGCTTAGGCGATCATGTATCTTTCTATACGTGACTGACGAGGCAGATTTTTTCTTCAGTAGGTTACCATTTCTTTCTGTGGTAGACCAGTTGCCATCCAAGGTTATAGAACCCGGCCTGTCCTGCTATTTACACATCTGATAGGAGAAGAAGAGGATTCATACCTTTCCCAAGGGTACTCAACCGTGTCTCATCAGATAATGAAAAAAAAATGAACACTTTTTGTTGTGTTTGTTGCTTAATGGATTAGCAGCCGACATCTAAATGTTATATAAAAAATTGTCACTTAACTAATATCGAGAATCACTGGCAGTGCATGGACAATTTCAACCTTTTGTACAGCAACAATATTTAATCAGTCGTGGTTTGTATGCATAATTGTGACAACCGAGTCGCGTAAACGAAATTCGAACCCCGTTTACTGATACCACACATTAAATATATTTGGCAACAGCTACGCCTTTTTCTTTTCACTGATAGTTCAGCCAGTACAAGGCCCAAGAGCCATTCAAGGTAGAGGGTTGATGAATGAATTTGTTGAATGAGTGGAAGAGGAGGTTGTAAGAAGTGTAGTTTATGAGGTTATGTATGAAAGATAATGGTTAACCCTAGATTTAAGGAGGTGTGTGGTGATCGGGGAAGCATCCTCTCGGGAGTCTGTTTCACAACAGCAGTTATTGGGAAGAAACTGTCTGAATGGAACTTCCTTCTTGCTAATGAAATACGAAGAAAACGAGGATGATTCGATCTTTTATACACGGCATGTCGGATATTAGTCGTGAGGGTCTTAACTGGTGGAACTAAGGAATGTAGCTCGACAGGACATATGCCATGGAAATAGCGATAGACTTGCGACGTTGTGTTTTTAGGAAAGTGTTAAGGGGTCCACCCCTTTTTATACAAGTGTGTACTTGTACTGCTGCCGGTGAATACCCGGGAGTGAGAGTGTGAGGTAGCCGCTTTGTAGGAGTCACAGTTGCGAGCACGTAGACTCAGAAGGAAGTCTTACTTCGATACTGAATTTCCCAGACTGTATATATATTATTATTGCTACTAACCGCATTTCTGGATCTACTAACCGTATTACCAATTGTATTATTACGTCAATACATTTATTTACTATATTTTATTCTTGCGTTTGTCATTCATTTGAGACCGGATTTCATCCCGGAATCCACAACAGAAAGAGTTTATAGGGTGGAAATAATTCATCGCCTACAAGACCGCGGAGATGCTTTTGAAGGCTGGAAAATGAGAATTGGTTTCAATAGAATTTGGAATAAATGCGAGTAGATGGTGGCACACTCTTCGTATATATTGACTGTAGAAATGTAGATATTATTTTTAAAAAATCGATCAAAATTAGGAGTACGGTTGTTATAAAAACGCTAAAAGATAAAAAGTAAAAAAATGTTTTTTTTTTTTTTTTTTTATACTTACCTTGGTCACCAAATCCCAAGCAATTGTATTTTGGAGTAATGCCTGGGGGGCATCGCGTATCTTCTAAACAAAAACTGGCTTTGTGGCCTTGTGCTATGCGATTGCCTTGTAAGTCCAAAATATCATAATGAGCAAACACCTCCATGCTGTGGTAATGCCTGTCAATTGACAAAAAAAAAAAAAAAAAGTCGCTCGTTAAATTTTAAGTGTCGCTTGGTATGAAATAAGCTTATTAATAGTGATCCCACGATTCTAAATGAAAAATGAAAGAATATAAACTGTGCTTTCTAAAACAACAACTATAACGGCAGCATGAAACAGGAATATATTTGCAGCGTGCCATATATACATACATTGATTGTATTCTACGACTTATCAACATTTGCAGGTTATTTAAAGCCAGAAAATATTTTAGATTTTAAGAATTTAATTTCTAATAATAATAATTTACTAATTAACCCATAACTGGAGGAGAAGAAGTGGATTCATACCTTTTTTAAGGGTAAGTGAAAATAACGAACCCAAATGGAATTGGAACTTCACTTCCCGATTAACAATTCTGAGTCATTATCCGTTATAAATATGAACATCCAAGTTTACAGCACCTGGTATTCCTAAGCGGTCACCCATCTAGGTACTGACCGTTGCTTAACTTCGGTGATCGTATGAGAACCGATGTTTCAACGTGTTATGACCGTATGTACATGGTAGAACTGAATAAAGTCAAAAAAGAGGTTTCCTGTAGCGTAACTGTTCTCACCAACCTCCTTAGTTGATCATTTATGGTTGAAGTTTTATTTTATAATTTCACAAGGCTCGAGTGCCACCCAAAGAAGATGTTTACTTTGAAAATGCTTATGATGAATGAGGTGTGTGATATGAATGAAAGAGGAGATAGTGGGGAGTGAATATTATAAGCATAAAGAAGAAAGCGATTAAGGAAGACTTGAAGAGGTTAAGATTGTAGTGTTCAGGAAAGCATCCAGGTAGGAGTGTATTCTACAATGTGGCACTTCCTGGGAAAAAGCTGTCTGAGTGGAACTTCTTAGATTTGGAATATGGAAGAAATTGGGGTTATTCATATCCTTGGCGCACCAGGTATTTGAAAAAAAAATAACCTTAACCGGGCTCTACACTTATGATTTAAAAACAAGGGGTGATTGAAATGAAAGCGGTGGTTGAAAATTTCATTCATTTTAAAATCCATATGAAAACTTTTACATGCTAAAATTAAATAAAGTATTATTCGATTCATTTTTAGGCTATTCGAGTCGTCATGATTTAACAATGCTTTTTTTTTCATCTTTCAAATCTTGTCTTTTTTTAGTAAGAAACTAGTTTTATCAAGAAGTTGTATAAAAGTGTTGACGTTGATTATTTTACATAATCTTACACAATTTGTCGACTACCAGAGTTGAATGTACGAGTTGTTATTTTTATGTACTTTGTGGGTTTTTCCACTTGGCTTCGTCAAAAACTCACGGCGTGAGCGCCTTTTTTATATATAACTTTTAAGGAAATATTGTCCGTAATCTAATGTTTTATTGAATTTTAGAAATTTTAGCTTTAAATTTACTCTAGTCTCTGATAATGTCTAAAAAATCAGCTTGTTTATACATATGCAAAAAATTCAATATTCTTTAGGTGTTTGTATGATTTGTACTAAGCTTTTTCATTTATGATTAGCAAATATAGTTCAGAGCAGATTTTCGTTAAATGATGTTTCTGTTTGACAAAAACAAATTGGTGATTTAAATTCTCCAAGGAGACCAGCGTTTAACTAATATAAGTATGAACAGGGTGGAATTTTAATTTCTAGAAATTTTATAAAATTAAGTAAGTGAAGGTAACAAATGTAAAAAAATATTTTTACAAAAATTTTCTAAAAAAAAAAAATTTAAAAAAAAATTTCATTTATTTGTGAATAAATTCTAAAAATTTCATTAAAATTAAATTATTTAATTTGCGCAAGAATATCCAAAACAATGTGTTCTTAACACCAAAAAGGATATTAATCTTTGGCCCACCCACTGACGCAAAATTTTAACCAAAATTTCGAACGTGCTAGAAAGGATTAAAAAATAATAAAAAATACTTTGGCCTTTCCTGTTATTAATAACATAAACACTTTGATGATAATAATTTGTTTTTATTAAGTTTGGGGTCTTTTTTCATCATGGTATGCTCTTTTTTAGCGAATTTTTGCAGGTAACTAGTTTGGAGAATTATAATATTTCATATTCATGTAACATGGATCTTACTCCATTTATCTTTTAGTAAAAAGAGCAAAATAAGTTTATTAATCAAATAGTTTTAATATTATATAATCTGGTAAGAAATAGAAAACGGAATATTACATGTGACACTGGTGCCATTCCCAGGCGTCTTTGGGAGAATTTGGAATGAAGTCTGCCGTTCCTATGTTGTATACAATACTGCTGAAGCGTAAAAGTCTTCGAGATGCAGTAATCCACGCTGCGAAAGATAAATGTAGACAGTTCTGCTAATAAGAACAAAAGACAGTTATAAATGAAGCAAAAACATATTTAATAATAGGCAATGGATGCTAGAAGACAATAACTCTCTTCCTCATTGACCACAGTCGAGATCATAGCGTTATTGTAGTGAGATATTCCAGAGTGTGTTCGTCCACGACAAAAACATTCAACCGCTCTCATCAACATCGGTTACAACTCTCTCTCACCTTTGGCGTTTATGGAGGGGTTTGTACCAGCCCACATGACGCCCGTACCACAAATATGCTTGTCAGTTGCCTGACTTTAATCATTTGAGTATATATCCCCTAGAGACCGACGCACTGTGAATCTTTGTTTATGAGCGGTTGTAATCAATAAGCATCATGGCCGGGTGTCGAGATCTTTTTTTTACGTTTGAATGATGAGGCAGCCACAGTTATTTAGGAGAGATATCGCTTATATTTGCAAACAATTGGAGGCCGTCTGAGCGGACTGGGTCAACTTTGAAGGTATTTCTAACTGGGCTCTACCTCCACGATTATAGTCTGCTTTTACGACGACCTGTCAGCATATCGCACATCTTTTGGCTGTGATACATGTGCCCGGAATACTCTTATCGGATTGTGTTATATTGGTTATATTGGGCTAATAACCTTTTTCATGGCTCAAGGGGTTACTGAGTGAAAGTGAAAATGAATGAGAAGACTGAGAATAGGAAGTATTGAGTGAAGGACAAAAAATAAACGGAGTTCAAGAAGATAGAAGATGGCGACTGACGATGCACTTAAATTTTTGAAAGATTGTAATTATCAGGGAAGCTAGAAAACAGAATGGTGTTCCACAGGTGTGAAGTGCGAGAAAAGAAACTTTTGTAGTAGAAGTGATTGTTGCATTTAGCTATTTCAACAATAAAACGATGAAACCTAGTCGAGGTGCCAAAGAGGAAAGCTCATTGCAATATAAATTACCGAGGAAAAGACAGAGAGAAGCCACATCACGTCAATGAAAAAGTGACTGAAGTCGAGATCCCTGGTCAGGATCGATTATATTACAGACCCATCTTTGAATTCTGTCAAGAGTCTCGTGGTATATAGTAGGAGTACCAGGCCAAATATGACAGCAGTATTCAATGCATAGACGAATGGTAGATCTATAAACATGCTAGATGGATTCTGATGAGAAAAAAAACTGTTTGGCATGACACAGTGAAACAAATGTCCTAGCAGTAAACCTAGCAATTGATTGAATATAATTATTCCACTTCATGTCAATGGAAAACGTGAGTATAAGAAGGCGCAGAGTTGCTCTGCTATAGGTTAGCATCAGCCATGCTAATGGCAGGTAGAAACGGTTCTCTATGGTGGTTAAATGAAAGCAGTTTTGTTTTGGAGGCGTTAAAATTTACAAGCCATTTTTTGCCCCAGTTAACCCCTGCTTGGTGGTCCTTTCCAAGAGCAGGTTTACTGCTTGCAGGTCCTTTCCAAGAGTAAATCTGTCGGATGTATTGAAATATCAACTTTCAGAATATGTATATACCTGGTGTAACAGAAAAATTGTCCAAATCGTGTAACAGCATAATTGTCCATCACACAAAATATTTAATATCTAAAAAATCCTTAAACTAATTGAGTTTCATTTCCAGGTTTTCAGATAAGGCGTATAGCCATTTTGATACCATTTGTCGTAAGAATCACCAAAAAACATTTTGAGTTATTCAGTTAGAAAGAGAACAGGTTAAAATCGTTTTGTATCAGCCCCACTATCTTCTCATCTGAGCAATGGTGAGAGGAAAAAGTTTAGGTCTTCATACTTTGGCTTCCATCTTCAAAGTCCATTCACGAACCATCACGCGAACTGTGAATAAGTTTAAAAAATAAGGAACAGTAGAGAGGAAAACTGGATCAGGAGTAATGACACAAGAACAGTGGTGGTTACAGGGATTGAGAATGAAAGAGTATGAAAGGACTGAGAATGAGGAGGATTGAGAAGAGGACAACAGATGAACGGAATTCAAGAAATCGGAAGATAGCGATTGACATCGCACTTAAATTTCTGAAATTTTAATTATCAAGGAAGCAAGAAATCAGAAGGAAGTTCCACAGGTGGGAGGTGCGAGAAAAGAAACTGTTAGAGCAAAAGTGGCACCTGCATCTAGCTAGTTCAACAGCCAATCTAATATCACGTTTAAATTCATGTAGTCGAGGCACCGGGAAAAAAAGCTCATCAGAACAGCTACTATGAAAATATTTGTAGAAACGAGAGAGGGTAGAAAAGACTAGTCGGCGAGAAAGGGGCTGAAGTAGTCGAGATGCCTAGTCAGGATCGATTATATTACAGACCCTTTGCATTTTGTTACGAATCTCGTGATATTTAGACCAGATATGACAGCAGTATTCAAGCATGGACGAATGGTAGATCTATAAACATGCTAGATGGATTCTGATGAGAAAAAACTGTTTGGCACGGCACAGTGAAACAACTGTCCTAGCAGTAAATCTAGCAATTGATTCAATATAATCGCTCCACTTCATGTCAGTGGAAAACGTGAGTACAAGAAGGCGCAAAGAGTTGCTCTCCTGTAGGTTAGCATCAACCACGCTAATGGCAGGCAGAAAAGGTTCTCTCTGGTGGTTAAATAAAAGCAGTTTTGTTTTGGAGGTGTTAAAATTTACAAGGCTAGAAATGGCTAATTCTCGCCAGAATCTTACATATTTATAATTCAACCATTCGTCCTTGCTTTGAATATTGCTGCAACATCTGGTCTGATGTTACTGCTATATATTTAGAGATCTTTGGTAAAATCCAAAGAACAGTCTGTAATGTTACTGGTTCTGACCTGGCATCTCGGCTTCAGTCCCTTTCCAACCACCTTAACGTAGCTTCCCTGTGCTTTTTCTATAAATACTTTCATAGTATTTGTTCCGATGAAACTTCCGCTATGCTACGCAGACTTTTTGAATTTAAGCACAGTACTAGATTGGTGGCGCGGTATCATTTCTTTTTTATAATTGAAATGGCTAGAGGTAACCGTAGGTTCTATGTTAACAGTTTCTTCTATTGCATTTTTCGCCTGTAGAACTCTCTTCAGGCTTCTTGCGTTCTAGTCAAGTTTGATCTTCAAACATTTAAATGCAATGTCAATCGTTATCATCATCTTCTTAATTCTTGTTCTTTTATTGACTTTTCTCCTTAAAAGTAGTTTTTTCTTTAACACTCACCTGGGGTGAAATGATTAAGAAAAAAAATGTCCTGTTAAATTCTATAAGATTTCTTTCCTCATTATGTTTGCTGATTTTTTTAACAGCAGTTTTCCTTATAGTTTTGGAGAATCATAAAATAAATTACCATGAGAACGTTCTTTTATTTCGTAGGCCTCATCAGCCAAACAGTTTTCTTCCATGGAACAAGTCAGGTAGTAAAGTGGTCGATCCTCAAGACGTACAGATTTTTGAAGAGCTAATGCATCGGGAATCAAATCAGGAAGTACTGTGAAAAAGACAGATAAAAGAGAGTTCGAATAAAATGGCAAAGATGTGAACAGATTCAAATACAGCGATATAAACATCCAGAAAATAAAAAAGAAACAAAGAATGAGAAAATTAAGAATTTGAAACTTAAATTTCACTTTTCAAGGAGCGACACAAATTTAAAGGAAAATAAGCAATTAGTTGAGTGGCAGATAAGAAAGATTTGTATTAAAACTATTTTGTCTTAAAAGAAAAAATTCTTTATTCAGTTTAGGTTTTTATTCATTTTATTTTGATTACGAACAGAAGATATCTTCGACAATTTTAAATAATTAGTTTTCATTTTTAATTCAAGCACAAATAAAACAATAAGAACAAATAGAATTCTGCAGTCAAACATAAATTCGTTTGATTTCTTGAAACTCTGGTATTAGAATACACGTATGATTAGACAAAAGCAATCAAGGTAATTTAATGTGCCTTTTAAAAAATATTTGAAGGTGTCAAGCTAAATTATTCCAATACATATATATATATATATATATAATTATATATATATATATAAGCAACCTTTAAAAGAGACTGCCCGAGATTGGAAAAGAGAGTGCCCAATCCCATAAAAATAGCAGAGCTTTAATATATTTTCAAGTGGCCAGTGGCTGACCACGACTTCCAGTTTCATACGATTCCACGGAATCATCAGGCACATGATGATTGCATAAACGCGCATGAAACTGGAAGTCGTCGTCGGTTACTGACCACTTAAGATTTTACTAAATATATATATATATATATATATATATATATATATATATAGAGAGAGAGAGAGAGAGAGAGAATAGAGACTTGATGCAAATATACAGACCATTAGTGCAAATGACTCCAGCCACAGACACGTCTTTGCTGCACTTCACTTGATTATGATATTCAAACCGTTCACAATCCGCCAAGTGGCTCTCATTGCCATGGCAACGGATGCGTGCAAACAGCTTCGGCAAATGACTGCCACCATAATAATTTATCTACAATGAGACAAAGTGACCGAAATATTGATTATAGTAATCATAATAATTTCATATCCAGTATATTTTTGGGTCGGAGGTTTTAGTTTTTATTCCTTTTTTCGAGATTTCTTGTTCATCTTTTCTAGAAAATTAATCTGATTTTTACTTTGAAAAATTATCAACTAATTTTAAAAAAAAATTAAATCAATGAATACAAAAGTTATGAGCCAATTTTCTTGTCAAGCGGTTTTTTCATTCCACAGTTTAATAAAATTAAAATAAAACTTTTTATTTCACACAAACATATTTACTTCTTTAGCATAACCATCTTCCTTATTAATGCAATCAAGTCGTGATACATAGGGAATTATAAATTTACAATTCCAAATGAAGATTCAGCTAATAATTACGTGTCAATATATGGATTTATAGATAAATATGTTCTTCACAGAAAGTAAATTCTGATTCTATTAGAGTCAAATTGCTAATTGTAAAATGTGTGATGTTAGCGCAGAGCATCACAAATTTTACAAATAGCAGATTGATTCTAAATCTTTTGAATTCTTCAAAACTTGACAGAATGAACATCATCCCATATATTTCGACATTTACTCATTAGCTTTGTTAAGTTTAACCAATGTTGGACTCTATTTCCATTTGATTAAGAGAAAAACGTTGGTAGGTTCTCCAAGTGAATAAAATAAAAAAAATATAAATTAAAAAGGAATAAAATTTTATTTAACAGAGAGATAAATCCTCAAAGAACATAATTAACTGATTTGAAAATCTCAAATCTCGAATCACATCTGAAAGAAAATGAAACATACATAACAATTTGTCTATAAAAAACGGAAATAGACTGAACAAGGAAGTTAAGTTAAAGTTTAAAGTTTAAAGACTGGAATTCAATGTAGAAATGTAAGCCTGGAAGAAATCAATAAATAACAGATAATTTAATTTCAGTGCCGTTTTGTTGCTGGGAAATATTTAGACTTGTTTCAATAGCATGGTTGATAAATATTGGAGATATCCTTACGTGAGTAATCGTATCAGAGAGATGATGTTTAAAGTTTTTCTTTGTGTGGATATAAGTTAAAGTGGAATAAAAAAGATTTAGATTAAAAAAACGTCGCACGAAATGAAATTCCTAAAAGATGAGCGTTAGTTCGAAAACATATTTGTCGCTAATCAATATTCGAATAACATATGTCGTTGAATTTGTCAACATTTCATAGTATTTTTTAAAAAATTTTTTTTTATTTGACGAAGACTCATTAACCATTATAATTTATTTTTGACAAATATTTACTTTCATCTGAATTTTTATCGCAATTTTATCCAGACCGTCTATCTACGGCAGTGAGTAGAAAGTGCGAATTATCAGTCAGTTATGTGTCATGCGTGATACACGCTTGGGCGATTATGTATCTTTCGATACATGACTGACGAGGCAGATTTTTTCCCGTAGTAGGTTGCTATTTTTTTCTGCAGTAGAGTAGTTGCCATCCAAAGCTACAGAACCCGGTCTGTTCTGCTATTTACCCATAGCTGAGGGGAGAAGAAGAGGATTCATACCTTTCCCAAGGGTATTAGCACGTAAGTGAATGTAATGGATTCAACTGGAATTCGAACTAGGCTCTCCGATTCCTTAATATGAGCAGCTATCCATTACTCCACCGTATCATAAATAAAGGATAAACTGTGAGGTAGATTCGAACCATAGTAAAATTACGATAAAAATGCAATTAAAATTAGGAAGAATATAAAAACTATAAAGTCAAGCCTGGTCTGTACCTTGATTGGTGACCACTTGGGAATACCAGGTACTGTAAGCTTGGGTGTGCGGAGGGTGTAATGGATAATGGCTCAGAATGAGAAATCAGAGAGCCGAGTTCGAATTCAAGTAGAGTTCCTTACATCCACTTATGCACAAACACTCTTGGGAAAGGTATGAATCGAAAAGACACGTAATAGCCCAAGAGTGTCGCATCTGCCCCTGCCTACACGCATTGGGCCAGCAGGGTAAGGTAATGGCTGTCTCTTCCTCATAGGCTGGGGATATATATAAAACTGTAAAAGAATAAATAATAATGGCTTCGATGTTTATTGGTAAATGAATGTATGTTAAACAAGCAATATGTTCAGAATAACATTTTGTCAGTGAATCTTTGAATACATTACAGAGTGCACCAGATAATTGAGATCAAATAAAGAAAAATAAAGATATTTATATTCAGTATGTTTAAAAGTGTACAAATGTTTAACTTTAGAAAACAGAAAAACATTATTCGATAAATTTTTTCAACTTCAAGGATGGTTTTGATGCGACCCCCGGATGCGACTAAATGCAAAGATTATGTATTTGTCATTCGTGTTGGTCATGATTTCATTTTTAGCATGTGAAAGGTTTGTTCCTAAATAAATGGCGCACCCTGTATATCCTATATGCATTGCTTACTTCGGCTGTGAGTTTTTTTCTCTACTATGATATATGATTTTTTAATTCCTGAAGTAAATAAAATTGACCCATTCACACAAAAGTAATAAGTTTTACGTGTTTTTCAGGTTTTATAGCAGAAATATGGTGTTTAATTATTTTTCGTATCACGAATTCGTCCTGCTTGTAATTATTGTGCATCTGATTGCCGTAAAATATGATGTTTTGTTGTCTGGTATTTTTATTACTGGTGTCATGTATTTTTGTAAGAATAATTTCATTTGTTTATCGATGATGTAGCTGGAATAATTATTGTTGACTAATGTTTGTTTTATATGTTTTACTTTATTATATAATTGTGTATTTGGGCAGCAATCCTTTTCTAATAAATGTCTCATTAAAAATGGCTGACAAGATACTTCAGTCAAGTTTTTTTTATTGTGCTTTTCTTTTGTTCAGTACGCTACTGTACTGTCTAACCATTTAGAAATGAATTAGAAATGTTATCAATGGTGCAAAAGTGAAATTAGAATTATCTGAAGTTGCTTGACATAAACCCATTATACGCGCATGCCTGGAAGAGCGGGCAGGTACTCACTTAACGACAAGTTCGCTTAGCGACCAGGTCGTTGGAACGGAACCCGGTCGTTATGTGAGGAGTGACTGTACATACGGTAAATCTCACTGAATAATTTATGAATTAAGGTATTGCAAGCTTTTTTCGCCATAATTTTATATTCAAACTGAATTTTCCGAGCTCTGCTTTGATACAGTGTAACCCAGATATAAGAGACCCGGATATAAGAGAAACCCGGATATAAGAGAGATTTTCTCTGGTCCCAAATTAGAGCCTGTGTTAATGTATATAAAATAGACCAAACCCGGATATAAGAGAAACCCGGATATAAGATACTTCTTTTCCGGTCCCGACAACTCTCTTATATCCGGGTTACACTGTATTAATAAAGACTTTATACACCATGTTTTTCTATATAAAAATTATACCTAAGTATATTAACAAGTAAACATATTTTTACTTTGCTTAGAGTGAATAATGAATCCTAAAAAGAAAACTAAATAATTTGAAGGTTATTAACTTTGAAATACGTACTTGGTTACTTACCTGTGTTAACTTAAATGTTATAAAATAGAAAAAAGTCTTAGTATATTCAGGTTAGTGAAGAAATAAATAAAGTAATCGTTTTAATATCCGGAATTGTTGGTTTCTTAATATCAATGCAGTTTTAGTTTTGGGTTTCGACGAATGCAAAAGTGTACATGCAAGTTATTTGTCACAAGTCCAATCTCGGGTGGATATTTCTTGAAAAGCCCTACTAAAAAAGCGATTTTCCAAGTGTAGCTTAGATGTGGCAAAGGCCGAAAGTAGGGGGCACTCATTGAGGATCGAACTCACTATTCAGTCATAATTGTTCTAGCAAGACAAGCTTGCTAACCATTACACCGCCTCGAGGTGCCCAAACCCTACTGAAATATTGTGATTTCTTATTTTTGATTACAGCAACTAATGAGACCGGACAACAAAACATGTCTTAGTTCTGTCCAGAAAATATCTAAGAATTCTTGCTTGACTATTTGAAGATTGTTCATTAGCATCGCTCAAAAGATAATACAAGTCCAGGATATTTGATCATAAAGCAAATTACATACATCTAGTATCCACCATCTCTTTCGAAGTATTTCTTTTTGGCAGCGATATCACAAATGAGATTGCTCATAAAGGGTAGTGATAAAAATTCGTTTTACATTCTGTTCGAACGCTATTCATTTCCTTCGAACTTCAGTATTTGTATATATTTAGCTATAAATCTATGTCGATAAAAATTAACTAAAAACTAAAATTTTTTTCTTACTAAAAGGTCACTGATATTGTTATCTGTTGAAAACCATTGAGCATATAAGAAATGTTGTTAACACATAGGATTGAGATTTTAAACAATACCTTCTCATCATACTCTGAGAAGAGGAACTCTGATATTAGTGTCAGGTATCTACTTGCTATTTGGTTTCTTAACAATTGTTCGGTGATCCTGAGCGGGATGTAAATTCTGCCTAAAGCATTACCGTCACAAATAAATACTAAAATGTTTGCTTTACATCACAAATAAATACTAAAATATTTGTTTTCCATCACAAATAAATAGTAAAATATTTGTTTTACTTCACAAATAAATATTAAAATATTTGTCTTGGATCATAAATAAATACTAAAATATTTGTTTTCCATCAAAAACAAATACTAAAATATTTGTTTTCCATCAAAAGTAAATACTAAAATATTTGTTTTCCATCACAAATAAATAGTAAAATATTTGTCTTGGATCATAAATAAATACTAAAATATTTGTTTTCCATCACAAATAAATACTTAAGTATTTGTTTTTCATCACAAATAAATGCTAAAATAATTGTCTTGGATTACAAATAAATAAAATATAACGTAATTCTCAACAAACCAGTATACGTATTAATGTAGATACTGAACCACCTTTTTATAACAATTATTCCTATCAACATTTATATATATCTTCCAAATTGTCAATAGTACACATCTGCTTACTTTGTAGTGGCAAATATATCTCATAAATATTCATTGTGTCCACACACACACACACACACACACACACACACACACACATATATATATATATATATATATATATATATATATATATATATATATAGTCATTAGAACTCTCGCTTTCTGGTCATGAAACCGAGGTTCGAGGACCATCATAGTCAATTTGCCAAGAAAGTGAGTTGATGACGTCAAAATCAATCCGGTACAGAAATTTCACTAGTGCAGTAACACAATGGAAAGTATGACACAGAAATCCGAAGGCGCATTTGAATAGTGAAATATTGCTTCCAGAAAAAAAAATCAAAGTATTAAAAGATAAAAAAATTTCGTTAGAATCAAAGAAAAGAGTGCTGTACTGCTATGTTGTATCAATTCTCTTATATGGAAGGAAATGCTGGACAATATTCTAACAGATGAGGAAGAGACTCGAAGCAACAGAGATCTGATTCTACAGACGGATACAAAAAATACCATGGACGGAACATGTAAGTAACGAGGAAGCTTTGAGCCGGAAGATAGTTCCGAAGCAAGAAGAACTTACGGTTAGATATAGCCAACCCGCCATTCTAGTACTGCGTTTAAATTCATAAATCATTTTATCACGTCGAAGAGCCCAAAAATGATTTTCGAAGCGTAGAGTAACCAGTGAGAATTGAACTCACTACTCAGTCTTAACTGGTCTAGCGAGACAAACTCGCTAAACATTACACCACGTCGAGGTGTCCAATTCGACGCAGGTATAGTTTTTCTTTTTTTTTTTTCTATTCACTTTTAATGTATTCTAATTCCACGTGCCATGATTTCAATTTTTTATCCACTGGGCCATGTGTTCTCGATAAAAGCATTAGTTGATTGATTCACAAGTGACTTGACCCAAAGAGTTCTGAGTTCAATACCAGACCACAGTAGAGGAAACAAAAACTTGGAAAACTTAACGGAAACTGAGATATTCCGAGCCCTTGCAAAAAATGAAACCTTGCACGTGGAATTGAAACAATCTAAACCCGTGGTCTAAATAAAGTGTTCGGTTTGAAATTCCAACAAATATCACCCAAAGAAGGCCGCAGTGTAGAATGGCCGAAACATTGTGAATATGGCAATGAGGTGGAGGACAACAGTTCGAACAATGTAAATAGTTACAATACCTCATCTCAGAAATACAGACAGATGTATACAACCACATTCTCAGATTAATAGTTAAAATGTTTCCGAGCAAATGAAACCTGTAGGTGATAACGAGGACCATCCTTTTTCGACTGGCGCTACAGAATCACAAAGAACTGTATCAAATAACAGAAACCGCATCACTTCAGGTCTTTCAGCAGCAGCAGCAACAACTAAAATGGATAACACGTGTAAGACGAAAAGAAAATGATAACAAAATCAAGATGATCACGTCCCACACTACTAGAAACAAAATTTTAGGAAGTAAACTTTCGTCAATATTGGAAAGAGGCATAAACAATAGGGTTAAGAAATTTGTTTTTCTTAAAAATTGTTTTAATAGAAATATCTGATAAATTTCAAACGATAGTAGCACTACCTATTCGGTTAATGAATACTGAATGTTTTCCTTATAAGGAAACAAATAATATTATCATTACCATTACTATTCCATTCATCAGAAGAGTTGGGACTAAACGACAATTTGTTTTAACTACCACTAAACGGGTGTCATACATTGGCATAATAGCCCCAGTCAAGGATGCTGTCATGAAGATTCTTAAATCACAGACAGGCGAATTCAGACAAAAATAAGAAAAGAACGAAATATAACCAAACCTCCTAAATTCAAAATTACAAAAGAAGAAAAAATATTCATTGAAACTTTATATAGTAATATCAGTATAACCATTTTAACGGCAGCATTTTTGTTAGGATTGACACGTTGGTGTATTCACAAATATTGGCAAGCCAAGTAAGAGATAATACCTACTGCAAACTATAGAAGGACTAAACATTAGAAATATAAAGTAAGTTGTCAACATCTTGAAAAAATAATGAAAAACAGATAGCTGAACCAGCGCCACAGGAAGCTACCACATAGATAGTGCCGTCCCGATATCCATAAAGAAGGCATTACTCTAAGATCTATTTTTAGTTGTCAAGAATCAGCATGTCATCTATTAAGCAGATGTCTGACAGGCAAGTCACAATTCAATGTAAAAAAACTGAACCCAATGTATGGAAATAATTAAAGACGCTCCCATTCAATGCACACAGATGGTGAGCTTCGAGGGTATGAACTTGTTTAACAAAGTTTCGACAGATGAAGCCATGTTAGTGGTTCGAGAAGAACTGGAATTCGGCACGATACTTGGGGAAAGCACTGGTATCCCAAAGGAGCAACCAAAATGTAAATGTTAACATACTACGTAGAAACAACATACTTCACTTGGCTTCTTAAATATATGGGCAGAGAGAAGATATAGTAATGGGATCATCATTGTTTCCAGTAATAGCGAATATATACATCGAATACTTTATGAAAATGGCCCTTAGAACTATATCACTGAGTCTATCCACCTGGCTAAAGTAGATAGATGATGCATTCATATTCTAGCCTCACCAGGAAAATGTCTTTTTTGATTGATTGGTTTTCAATCCTTTGCGGCTTGTTTAGAGCCAGAAAATATTTTAGATTCTAAGAATCTTTTTGAGATAATAATGATTTAGTGATACAGGTCCTTGTAATTAACGCATAACTGGGGAGAGAAGAGTTGGACTCATACCTTTCCCAAGAGTATTTTGCGCGTAAGTGAATATAACGGACCCAACGAGAATTGGAACTCGGCTCTCCGATTAACAATTTCATCACACCACCCACACATCCATACTTACAGCACCTGATATTCTCAAACGGTCACCCATCTTGGTACTGACCAGACTTGACGCTGCTTAACTTCGGTGATCGTACGAGAACTGATGTTTCAACGTGATGTGGCTGTAAGCCTCCAGGAAAATGTGAAATTCCTAAATACAATTCATTATGGAAAATAAAACGGTGGACTAGCCTTTCTAATAACCCGTACAGAAAATGTATTCAGAACATCCGTACATCATGAACCGAAATTCATTGGACGTATTCTAAAGTACCTCCAATTAATCAGCGAATATAATATCAGCAACAGATACAAGTTCGGAAAATGTGCAACAAAAGGCTGCAGCCATTCTATTTAACATGAAAGATTTTGCAGAGAAAATACAGAGAATATATTTTATTTAAAAACAGTGGTGAAGTAATGGATAGCGACTAGGATTGAGGAATTGGAGAGCCGAGTTCGATTTCCAGTCGAATCCATTACATTCACTTACGTGCTAATAACCTTGGAAAAAATATGAATCCTCTTTTTCTCCCCCACGCCCACCAGCTATGGGTAAATAGCAGGACAGACCGGGTTCTAGCCTTGGATGGCAACTGGTCTACCACAGAACCTACTGCAGGAAAAAATATGCCTCGTCAGCTATGTATACATGCTCGCCTTTTCAGCGGAGATGCTTGGGCGATTAATCTTTATGGAAATGTAAAAAATTGCGACAATTCCTCACTGGGTAAAATTTAGCCATGAAAATATTGGTGATTATTACAAAAAGAATAACATTTTATCACGTTTTTTTTTTTTTTTTTTTATAAAAGATCTATTTATTATAAAAGTAAATCAAGTCTTTATGTAAATAGAATAATCCTCCAAAGATCATTAAAATGTTTTTTTTTATTTTACATAAATGTACCACCTAATACTGCTGGATTTTGTGTCTGAATATCCTGTCCGACCTGAGGATGGGAAAATATTTTGAATTATTCAAATATTTCTGAAGAATCATGCGAAAAGGAAAGTAATATGAATAAACTTATGTTATACATTAGGGTAATGACCAAATGACTCTGAAACGCATCAGCCATCAAACTCAAAGGCAAAAAAAAAATCCTGCAATGTGGACGGAGCACGGCATCACAGCATTCTTTCCATCCCTGGAAGTTTTTTTTAATCATTGCAAGCATACAGGTAATCCGGTTAATATGAAAATGGAAGTAGTAAAAAAAAAAAAAAAAAAAAAAAAAAAAAAAAATGAGAAAGAAAAAAGAAAAAGAAAAACAAAAAAAGAAAAAGAAAAAAAACAAAAAAAGAAAGACAAAAAAAAAAGAAAAAGAAAAACAATACCCCTCCCCAAAAAGACAAAAATAAAACAAGACGATAAAAAATACCTGGCTTCATATTTTAAGTACATCAGTTTCAACAAATATATCTATATCAATAATCTTTAGGCAATTACAGTAAGCCTCCAAAACTAACAACAAATACACATTTTAGGCAAGAGTGGTAAATAAAATCAATATTTTCTAATCTTAAAAATAATGAGCTAGCTCCTCCTGCTATCCTCTACCTTTACAAGAGCCAGATCAGGCCGAAAATGGAGTTGCCATATTTGGTCGGGAGTTGCCTAGTCCTCACTCCCCAGTCTCAATAGAGTCCTCGTTGGAGAAGAATTATTTCCCAACCTACAACTTCTTTCTCACAGGCGGGATGTGGCAAGCATCTCACTACACTATTGCTACTTCCATAGAAAATGTTGTCGGACAAACTACATTCCTTGGTTCCGCTTTTCTAACCTTCGCGGCTAGGGCCCACCATACCACTTATATGTGTAGCAGACCAGCCATATTCCCTTCGCGTTTCATCGGCGAGAAGTAATTTCCACTTGAACAGCTTCTTCCACTGCGAACCACTGCTCTGTGGAACCGACGCCCAAGTGGATGTTTCCCCAATCACTTCAATCTTAACCTGTTCAAGTCTAGGGTTAACCATTATCCTTCCATCTATCCGTATAAACTCCCTTTTAATATAACCCTCTACCCTGAGTGTCCCCAGGGCCATGTAGTGACAGTTTCACAAATTTTACGAGTTGAGCAAGGATCGTTAAACGGAAGAGACTTTGACTGCAAATACAAATTGTTTTAATTTGTGATTTGAATTTAGAAATTTCAGAATTTGAACACTGAAATTGGTTTCATTGCTCCATACAGTCATCGAAATCGATTTTTATTAGAATTATAAGTTTTATCAGTGTATTGTGTAATATATTCTTGATTGATAGATGAATTCGTTTTACACGGCTTTTCAAACTTTTTCATGTTATTTAAAGCAATAAAATATTTTTCGTTTGTAATTTTTTTCTTTTTGAGATAATAATGATTTAGTGAGACTAGTCTTACTAATTAACCTATATATGGGAAGAGAAGAGATGGATTAATACCTTTCCCAATAGTATTTGAGCTTAAGGGAATATAATGAACCCAACTGGAATTGGAACTCCGATTAACAATCCCGAGCCATTATCCATTACACCGCGCGCACATCTAAGCTTACAGTACTAGAAATATTTTTAGATTGTAAGAATTTCTTTTTTTTTTTGAGATAATAATGATTTAGCGATTCAGGTTTTTGTAATTAAACCCATAGCTGGGTGGAGGAGCGAAAAGTTGTATTCATCCTTTTCTCAAGGTTTATTTGCGCGTAAGTGAATATAACAAAACCCAACTGAAATTGAAACTCTGTTCTCTGATTAACAACTCTATTACACCACCCGCACATCCATACTTACAGCACCTGGTATATCCGAGCGGTCACCATACTAGGTACTGACCAAACTCGACTTTGCTTAACTGCAGTGATCGTACGGGTACCAATGTTTCAACGCGATGTGGTTGTAAGCTTAATATATTCAGTAACATATTTTGACCACAAGGGATCATAGAATTGCGTTCAAAATGATTACGTCATTTGACGAGTAATCTGTAGACGTAATTTATCTTTGTATAATTCATTCATTCATTGATTCAGTTATCGTATTTTGCTCCGCCGTGGTCACCACTCCCTCTATTTTCTGCTGTAATTGTGATTCATGGTGACATTCAAGTACAATAGCACAATGGCTTGCTGGTACCTTTTGTACCAAAAATGTTGAGGTTACCCTGTTTCTCCTCTCAGACGTTAAAGAGACAGGAACTACAAAGCAGTAGGTGGCTTGAATTCACAGTTTTCCTTCACCTAGACTGGCGATGGTATATGGAGGCCGTGCGCTGACCAGACTATATGGTCCCCCTTCTCGGTCGTACCGACAACATCAAAAGGAATACAGGGCATTACATTTGGGGACGACTTGGCTGCAGAAAGTGCCAGAAAGTTGTCAGTGTTGACGGCCAACCGCATTTGGGGCACCACTCCGAATTTTCTGTCTGGATTTACTTCCATAGTCTTTTCTGTGTTTGGGATATGCCCGCAAGGTAGCGGAGTTTTAAAATCAGGGTTTTCCTTAACCTCGATGGACTGCCTTTCTAGGTTGTCAGAGCTCCATCTATCCGAATTTATACTATCTCAAAAGCCTGCCTATCGGGTGGCATTTAAGCTCGCTTATAGGGAGGGCTCTTGATTGGGCCTTCATCGCAATAGGTAGGTAGGAATAGATGCGATAGGCAACAATAAACTACAGACGAACTCGAAATTGATCGCTGCATTTAAGTATTGCATTAATATTTAAGCTTAGCTTTTAAAAGTTCAACGATAATTCTTCTGCCGCCACTTAATTTAAAGACAGTTTGATGTACGTAGGTCCTGACTTTCTGTACAAACAATTATTTTTATTTCATGGATGACTTTCGTTGGATTTTGCAATTAATTTCAATTATTCCCAAATTTATTTCCAAGTTATAAAAATTGTTATCGTACAATGTTTATTCGTCGCAAAAAATGCACGTAAAAATCGCCTAAAACAATCGCAGTAATGAAATCTTAGGAATCCAAAATTTCAGGATTGTGGATCCGGATCTGGCCCGGAATTAAAACGGACAATTTTATTTTGAAACGCTATAATTTAAGAACAGTAATTTTTCATTTGAACATGAGCTATTGAAAGTTAGAGAGTTATGTCCCTTTAATTGTTTTTATCATTAGAAGCCAATATGGCGGAACACGAAAACAACAACAGTAATGAAAACTTAGGAATCCAGAATGCTTTTAATTTGCTCACGGGGTCGGCCTGATTTCCAAATGGTATGATATATTGGGCTACGGCCTCTTTGAGTAAAGTTGAAAAAGTATGACACAGATACACACTACATTGGCATTTATTATATTTATAATTAGCTGTGTTTTACATTGAAAACGTATAAAATGTGATTAGCTAGCTACAGAAATCAACAGGAATATCCCAAAAGGGATAAATATTTCTCCGATCAAAATTGCTGAGACAAAATGTTTTGCTTGCTCAATCTCTTATTCTATGACCAAAATTTCGAATAAAGCCTGAAGTCTAAACCACATCGACAGAAGTCAGTGTTCTATTACTTCAAAAGTCTTTAACTCTAAGATAATCACCTGAGAAAAATGAAGGATTTTATTTCATTATTACAGTCAAACCGAAATTAAAAAAAGTTAAAAAATATTTTACTGCGACTTTAAAAAAATTATTGATATAACTGAAATATATGTATAAAAATAAGACACCCAAAATATGAGGTCAGTTAAAACAAAATTATCGTCAGAAATGTATCTCTTAGAATAAAAAAAAGAAAGAAAGTTTTTAAAATTATTTTGCTGGAAATTTATTAGGTGTGTGCAAAAGTTCGTAGTGACATATTTACAAATTAGAAACTCAATTCACAGTTGAAAATTGGTTTTCAGTTTTCAATTATAATGACGACAGAAAAGATGCATGCGTGTTATTCTTTTCTCATTCGGCAATTCAGTGAAGCGAAGGTGAATGATCGGGGTCTATGGAAATGGTTCGATGGAATGATGAATCCGATCAAAGTTAGAATTGACTGAAATATTTGGCGTCGCTCATTCAATAATTATAAAACTTTTGAAAAGTACAATGGGTGTTTAAAATGAGGGAAGCCTGCTTTAATTATCAACATTGGACACCAACTTCCGATCAGTATTTCACTTCTTGTCAGACATTTTTTGTGAGGGATCGTAACTGAACCGGAAAAGTTGATTTACTACGATAATCTGAAAATTTTGAGTATTTTGAGAGGACCCAAGACATCCTGCAGTATCAAAAACAAAACATAATCTTTTTGAAAAGATATTTTTCTTCATTTGGTAGGATATAAAAGATGTACGTATTATTGGCATTCGTTACCTTCGATATTTGCAGTGTTTTCTAGTGAAGTAAAAAAAGACTCTTACAAGACAGGGAGGCTGGAAAATCATACTGTTACATAACAACCAGATGCAGCATTTGTTTCGATCGAAGCAGCATTTATTATCTTCTTAAGAATAATATTTTCGAGGTATAGTAATTATTTACGCTATTTACATTGTTCGGACTATTGTCTTTGCTGTCATACTCACGATGTTTCGGCTGTTGTACGTTCGGGCCTTCTTCAGGTGATTGGAATTTCGAACCATATCCTTTATTTCATCCCTCGGAATAGATTTTTCTATTTCCACGTGCCATGCCTCTTCCGGATATCTCAATTTCAGTTTTCTCTTATTTCTCTTTAGTAACTCAAATCTCCAACCTCTGCTGTGGCCAGGTATTGAACTCACAACTAAGATATCCAGAAGAGGTATGGCACGTGGAACTAAAACAGTCTACCCCGGTGGACAAAATAAGGGGCTCGGTTAGAAATTCCAGTCACCCGAAGAAGACCAGAGCACACAACAGCTGAAACGTCGTAAATATGACAACAAGGATGAGGACAACATTCCGAACAATGTAAATAGTGTAAATAATATTTTCGATATTTAAAATTTAATTGACAATATTATCAAGTCGAAGGCAGAGTTGGTTTTTCAAGATGGAATTCATAAACTTCAGGGAATGTTGGTAGACAGTTATAGAAAATAGAAAGTGATGGAAATATTTTGGTGATTAATATATATATATATATATATATATATATATATATATATATATATATATATATTATATATATATATATATATATATATATATTAGAACTATATATATATATATATATATATATATTCTTTAGAAATATATATATATTCTTTAGAAATATATATATATTTTTTAGAAGTATATATATATATATATATATATATATATATATATATATATATATATATATATATATATATATATATATATATATTCTTTAGAAGTATATATATATATTCTTTAGAAGTGTGTGTATATATATATATATATATATTCTTTAGAAGTATATTCATATTCTCTGCAAGTGTATATATATATATAATTTAGAAGTATATATATATATATATATATATATATATTCTTTAGAAGTATATATATATACATATATATATATATATATATATATATATATATATATATATATATATATACACCAGTTATTAACTAATTCTAGTAACAAACCATAGAAACTTTTGCAAACACCTAATAGTATCATTTTTTTTATGTGTCACGTGTTGCCAAGCTCCTGATGCGAATGCACAAGCATTTGATCGTCGAACAAACCTACCCTTCTGTCGTGTTTGGTTTTGTCAGGTCTCAGGGTTGATACAGGTTCACCCTCCTCAACGCCCTTGTCGAGTGGCAAAAGTAAAGAAAACGATATTGATAACACAGAAAATTTTGTATGCAGTTTTTTTTTTTACGCTAATCAAAGACTTTTGTGATAGAAGGTGAAAATAAAAGAAATGATTTAATATCGGAATGAGAAAGTCACTTACCTGATAAACCTGTTTGACCATGCCTAATCCTAACTGACGGCAAACGACACTGGCCTCGAAATAGGTCCATTGGTCACCGCAGACGACTCCCCATTTTTTTTCTCCAGGAAGCAGGATGGCAACGTGACCTTCTTTTCCATAACGACCACCGTTGAGGGTCACTCTGAATTTCTGTAAAAAGGAAAGAGAAAATCCTTGATAAAATGGAAAACTATAGAATTATCGAACATGGGAGGAAGAAGGAATTATAACATGCCGATTTAGAGATAAAGATGTATCATCACCTTCTAAGATTATTCCACTGGTCTGCCAAAGGACCTCTGCCGATAAAGTAGTATAATGAAATGGGGGTTCCGATTAAATGATAACACGAGTCTTCGTTACTTAACCTTCAGGTTTAAACACAGTTTTCTTTATCCTAGATTGGTTGCCATCCAAGCTGAAGGTCGTTAGTTACATTCGGCCACTCTGTGGTACCAGCCATGTAGCCCCTGATCCGATACGTGGTCCTTACATTCTGCCTGTGATATTTAAGACAAAAATCATTTCCTTATCTGTCCAACACTCTCATTTTCACACTTTCAATACCGGATACAGTGGCGAAGTTCATGTTAAGCCTGGTTTATTTTGATGGTCCGATGTGAAATTTGAGTGCCATGTCTATTCCAGCATTATACCACAGCAATATATAAGAAAAGTCTCGTCATTGGCTTTCTCTTTATCCGAAAAGATACCTTAGAGATAGCACGTGTCTCATTCCATCTTGAGGACTGTTCAGCCCCCAGCGAACATCATGTCGAATTGAACACAACGCAGAATAATACACAGCATACAACCCCTTAAATTTACTTGACTACATACCACTAATTCTACGAAACGAAACAGATAACCGTCCTGGGTAAGACGATAAACTGCATCCGACAGCAAGGCCTTTGACCAGAACGTTTTGAGGAGCGTGGAACCACTTCTTAATTGCTGGTGTTCCCAGGTTCATCCTGACCAGTGGTGGTAGCACTTGTCAGGGTCCCAGCTATGGGCAAATAGATAACCCCATGAAACGGATCAAAACCCTATGAAAGTATAAAAATAGGTTTTAATACCAGCAATACTTTTGGGGAAAAAAATTACCAGCAATACATTTTGGAAAAAAAAAAAATATTACCAGCAATAAAAATCTTGTCAGCATTGAGGTTGATATTCCGTAAAACAATTCAAACCAAACAAATAAAGACTCTTCATCGGAGCTTCATACACCTTCATTTACTCTTTTTGTATTATTTTAATTTAGCTGGCCCAGAAGAAGAAAAAGAAGAAGCAGAAGAAGAACAGTAACCTTCTATCTTGAGTGGCTCTAGAGCCTTATATTAGGTAAATTTTACTATTAAAATATCTGGTTGTTATTAAATTGTTTGACATTCTTTTCTATTGTTAGGAGAAACATCACACTGCTCCATCAGCTGAAGAAGTATTTACTATAATCAATGGATTGATAAAAGCGCATCTGTTACTGAAATGATTTCAAATTGATAATGGTCTTGCGTGTTTGTATTTACGGATAAAAATTGAAAAATATCAGGGATTCTAAAAGAGAAGATGTTTAAATACAGTTTTTGTATCGACTAAAAGCGGTAAAAATTTTGCTAAAAGAAAGGTTACGATCACAAATCTTTTCATGGCAATTGTTCTGATCTGGCCTCCTTTGTGCCTCGACTGCATTGATTTAAGCGTTCTACTAGATTGGCAATTAGGTCTCACAGTTTTACTATTGAACTAGATAGATGCTAGCGTATGTTCTATTCTAAAAGTTTCTTTTCTCGCTTGTGGAACTCTCTTCTAATTTATTTCCCTGCCACTGGTTACATGTCGGTATTACCAAAAATAAAGGTTTAAATAATAACAATATCTGATCTTCAATTTGATTATTTCGTTATAACAGCAGCTATAGCAGGAACATGGAAGAAGAAGAATGTTTACCCAATACAAGGCTCAAGAGCCACTCAAGGTAGAGGATTACTGAAGGGGTTGTGAGATATGAATGTAAGAGTAGGTAGTGAAGACCATGAGGATCGGATAGATATATAATGATTAATCCTTAACTTGAAGAGGTTAAGATTATAGCATTCGGGGAAGTATCCACGCGGGATCATACTCCACAAAGCAGCTGTTCTTGGGGAAAAACCTGTCTGAGTGGAAATTTATTCTTCTTAATTCAATAATTCAAATAATTACAAATTTTCATTATTTTCCATAAATCAGTGTCCTGAATTTGATATTTCGATTTAGATAGAGTTAGTTACGAGTCCATTTCAACATAACAAAGGAAATCCCTAACAGCTCTCTGATGTTCAAAGAGAGGTAATTATTGAATATACAGGCAGGAGTCATAATTAACTATCCTATAATTATAAACGTCGTATTTAGTGAATACCTGTGTTTGAGTAGATTTCCTATTTTGTTAACAGCGAAATGAATGCCTAAAGACGTAGAGATCGACAGTCTTACTATAGAAAATATATCTCCTAACAGGAATTGGACCTCTCCTTTTAAATATCGGAAGACCCATTTCAAGCAAAGCTGCTTTATCATTAAGCTTACTATAGAAAATATATCTCCTAACAGGAATTGGACCTCTCCTTTTTAATATCGGGAAACCCATTTCAAGCTAAGCTGCTTTATCATTAAGCTTACTAAAGAAAATATATGTCCTAACAGGAATTGGACCTCTCCTTTTTAATATTGGGAAACCCATTTCAAGCTAAGCTGCTTTATCATTAAGCTACAAAAAAAAAAAAAAAAAAAACAATAAAACATCACAGTAACGCAATGTGCAATTCAAACATCATCTTTGTCAATATAAATTTGAATTATTTACAGGGTGGTTCATTTTCTTCGGTATCAGAAATTCCTGATCTCGTCGAGTGTAGCTGGGAGGATTAGTAATAGCACAACGACAAAGACTATAGAGTATGTAATTAAATAAGACATTGGGTTCGTAGGGAGTTAATTTGAGGCTGTTTGGTTAAGAATATTTTGTATTTTTTCCTTTTCAGAAGAAGTTAATTTGTCTCAGGGTTATGAGTTTCAAGTCTTTTCTAAAAAGGATAAACAAGACGAAGTCATCTCTGGAGAGCGGGCAGAAGTTTGTAATTTAAATAATTGAGGATTAAGGAAGGTTATGTAATGTTTCTAAACACTTCACAATGTGAATATATTTTTCTATGGGTTTTTGAATGAGCATTAAAATTTTCTTCAGGGGTCAGTTAACTTTATGTTCTCACGAGGAACATTTCAAGAAGCACTTATGTTCTTTTGTGAAATGGAATCGTACACACACTCTCTCAAACAAACGCACAGAGAGAGAGAGAGACAGACAGACAGACCAGATGAAACTACACTTATTATTATTATTATTAATAATAAATACAAGAATTTATAATCTAAAGAAAGCCTAATTTAGACATATACAGTGATGTTCACCCTGTACAAGGCCCAAGAGCCATTCGAGGTAGAGAATTATAGACACCAAACCCAAGCTAAGGCGCATTAAATTTTTCTTAAGGTGGGACAGTTATATTCTCAGGAGAAACATTTCAAGAAGGAATTATGTTCTGTGAAATGAAATCGCGCGCACGCGTGCACAAATACACACACACAGAGGGAAGTAGGGAGAGAGAGAGAGAGAGAGAGAGAGAGAGAGAGACAGACAGACAGACAAACAGACAGACAGACAGGCAGGCAGGCAGGCAGACAGACAGACAGACCAGATGAAATGACTGCACTTATTATTATTAATAAATACAAGTCAAGAAACCAAAACTTCTTAGACTGAATTTATAAGCCATAAAAGACCCAATTTAAACATGATTTACAATGATGTTCACCCTGTACAATGCCCAAGAGCCACTCGAGGTAGTGGGTTATAGAATAAGAGACACGAAACCCAAGCAATGTGATAATGCCACCAAGACGTACTGGCTACCGGAACTGAAAGAGAAGGACAAGACTTTAGAGAGAACCGGAAACTCAATCATAAACAGGAAACGAGGGATAAACCACTACTCCTGTTCAAAAGAACAGGGAGAAGTGTGAGCCGCACAATAGGCAAATCTATCTACTTTTATTGAGGAAAAATGTAAATAAATAGTAAATAAACGTTCAGAGTTTTAGGCAGGGACATTAGAAGCTTAGAGTTGAAGTAGACTTTAGAAGGAACCGGAAACCCAATCCTAAAAAGGAAACAAGGGATAAACTTTTAGTCATGTTCAAATAAGTAAATTTATTACGGTCTAATAAGGCGTAATAAAATTTTAGCCTATCTATGTTCACTAAGATTACAGTTTTTATATATGTAGCACAATGGCTATGATATTGAAAACAGTAACATTTTAACTTTTCTTTTATGGGGCCTGAAGGTATCAATTATCAGAGAAAAAGAGTATATGCCAGAGGATTAGAAACAAGGAAGAGTTTGATTTCAAACTTCTGTTTGCAGGTTAGCACACTGATTCTTTATTGATTCTTATTGTAACTGATGAAATGTCATCGTATGTAACGTTTTGGATAGAGAACAATAACATGGAATTTTTAGTTTTTTTCCATCTTTTCGCTTCATTTACATCAATCGAAACAACATCTTTTAGTGTAGTTTAAAGATTAAAATATCGTTACAGAAATATATCGGTTAAAGATTTGTTCAAATTTTTAAAATTAGAAAAGATATGAAGAATTTAATTACTATGACATGACTCCTTTTTTATGAGGAAAGGAAAAATGTTTTATAAATTGAACAGTTGTCAATCTAAGACCAATGTAAAGACAAAAATAAATAAAGCAAGAAAGAAAATTAAACAGATGACTGATCTTGTGATGTGAATTTGTATTTGGATAATTTAAACGTTTTGATCCCAAATGAAATAAAGATAATTACAGGGACTTAGACAAAAGCCAGAGTGCTGACGTACCAAAACTGTTCCAATAAAATCTAGAAAAGAGATATTCGAATAAGAACTGGCATTCGCATGTTTTCGAAATAGCAAAAAAAAAAAAAAAAAAAAAAAAAGAATCTCTTTCGCCTTCGCTGCTCTCTCAGATAAAAAAAAATCGAAACGAAGAAAAATAATCTAGCACTGTGTAAATTTAAATTTGTATTATAGAATGTCAATTGCTCCTTT